AGCCCCGGCATATCAGCCGCTCTCCGGGCAGAGCGCAGGTGGGAAGGGGACCGGAGCCTGAGGTGACCTAAACCTCTCGTAAAAAGACAAATAGAGCAGCAGACAAACTCTCTCCTGCAGCTGAGAGCACCCATACTCGGGTCACCACGGCACCCAAACCTCCTTTCACTGCCTGTTGCACCCCACAGAGCCACGGGACCCCACGTCACCGCAGTGGGTGGACGGTGTCTGTGCCCCCGGCACACGGGCACCCCGCAGCTCTGCGCCCTCCCCGAGGGGAAGGCAAGCCCCCGCCCTGCAGAAGTACCGGCACCTCCAGCTGAGAAAGGTTTTATTTTTTAGTGCCAGCACCCTCTGTGCTGCCCACCAGCCTTCACCGCGCCAGCCCCATCGCCCCGCGGGCAGGACCCTCCCTCGGGGTGCTGGGTTCCCTCTCCTCCCCCGAGCAGGGCTGGCTCCCCCCGTTACCTCGCCCGTCTCACACATCTGTTGGTCGGGGCATCAGCCTCATCCTTTCCCTGTTCCTGTAAAGCTCCATCCACGCACGCATGTGGTATTACATAAAAGTGCCAGGGAGCAGAACAGCAGGCAGGCGCCTTCCCCAGGCGGCTGCGCGGGGGCTTCGCCATCAGCTGCTCAAAACGTTCCCCCAGTGCAGGGACACCCCAGATCGACGGCTCAATGCACAAGGTTTGGGACCAAAACGCTTGTCAGACACAGCCCTGACCTGCGCCGGCACGGAGACCGAGGGACCAGCTTTCCAGAAGAGGCATTTGGGGCATCTCGGCCTGGAGGAAAAGTTTAACACTGCATTTTTTGTATTTGTAACGCTGCTCAGCGATCCTCAGAGCCAGTTTCAGGAGACCTCGCTTTGTGCCAGAGCCTGGGGCTGAGGGGACGCTGCCAACCAGCCACAGACCCCAGCCACGGCCACGGCAAGAGGAGACGGAGACTTTCCTCCTCTCGGTGCTGCCTCTTTCACAAGTTCTCCCCGGCTGCAGAGTCTGAAAAAGCCACTTCAGCGTTCGGCAGATTACGGAGTGAACAAAGGCAAAACCCAACGCAAGGGCCAAGCTCTCCAGTGAAGCCCCGGGCAGGAACGCCGCCGAGCGACGCGATCGCTCAGGTCGCTGCGTCCCGAGCAGGGATCCCTCTGGGTCCCGGCCTGGCCACGACGAGGACAATGCTCAGCCCCAGACCTGAGGTGTTTCACACGAACTTCCCCTCCCTGCACCCACTGGCCGCGTTCGCCGGGCTTGGACTCACTCGGTTTAAAGCAGAATCAAACCTGGAGAGTTACCTGGAGCCACTGAGCTTTTACATAATCCTTCCCTATTTGACTTTCACGTAAGCCCTTGTAACCCGGTTTGTGCAAACTCCTTATCGGTTAGAGCTTCCTGACCTACACCTAAAATTATTTCTCCTGATGGGAATATCAAAATGAGGTTTCAATTACAAAAGTTTATAAACCCCTCCCGGTTATTTGGCACAGTAGTATTTAATGCTTAAAATATTCCCGCAGGAGCAGGTGTAGGTGCTGAGAGCAGAAGCACATCTGGGCAGGAGCCGAGCTCAGCCTCCGCAGCCCACCGCCCCGGCTCAGCAAAGCCCTGGCTTTGCAGGGCTGGGAGGAGCAGGCAGCTCCCCCTGCACCCCCCCAGTCACACCAAAAGCCCTTCGGCCCGGGTCAGGCCCAGCCTTTCACCACAAAGAGCCAGCTCCAGCTTTGCTATTTAGGACGAATTACAGACGGCTTCGTCTCAGCCCAGCGGAGAAATGCAATTGTTCGTAGCACTAACACGATTTGATAAATAGTTTGAACCAACGTTAACTTCATTGTTGAGCTGCTGATTCAGTCAAGGTCCTAAACCTGTCGTGACCTTGATTTCGTATCTTGATCATAACCAGCGTTTAATGAAATCACAGCAATTTAGCTTCCTTGGTGATCTTCATGTTGTTTTCATTCTTCTTCATAAAAGACATGAAGTGAATGGAATTGGCTTATTCTCCCGGTTTTCAACACAGGTCACAAAAATTCTCAGTAACTACATAACCAAGATGAGACATTCGAGGCAGTTAGCTGTCTCAGCTTTCATTCCTCGTGTATAACAAAAGCTCTGGTCTGATTCATAAGGAATAAAAAGCCAGGCTTTATTGCGACATTCAGCAGCAACAACCCACAACCACAGCATCTCTCTTGACCATGACAGACAGAGCTCGGAGATGGAAAAATCACTCCTGCAGCCTAAACGCGCTTTGAGCTGCTTTTAAGCTACGCGAGTTGTCTTTGCTGCAAACCACAAGGTGTTTTAAATCCTCAACCATTTTAATCCTGCGACGCCCGTCCTTGTCCATTAAACTCCACAAAACCAGCACAAGAGACAGTGGCCGGGTGACGTGGGGCTCGCCGCCAGCCCCGGATCCGCGCTCTCCGAGCTGACCTCACGCCCTGGGCTGCCAGCGCGGCGCAGCGCCTGCTGAATGTCAGCGTTTGTTGCTGATTTATAAAAGGGGAAAATCTGAATCGAAGAGCCACTGGGGAGATGTTGGGGCTGTTTTACCGGGCTTTCTGATCAGCCTAGCAGAGCGGGGAGCCCAAGCCGCGCTGGTACCTCGGCCCAGGTGAGGGCCGTCCTCTGCCACCCAAACCAGAGCCTGGAGAGCCCCAGCTCCCCTCTCACCGCGGCAGCGAGGTGGTGTTAGAGAAACACATCCCGGAGCTCCCCAAGGACAGCGCTGCCTCTCCCACCGCGCTCGCCTCGCCCACCCGTCTGGCTCGCAGGCGATGACAAGATGTGGTCACTCAACAAGTGGTTGAAAAGGCAGAAAGGAGCAGTTCTGCTTCCCGTAGCACTAAATATGAAGAGAGATGATGACAGAGCATCAGGCTGCTGACTGCTGGAGTAGCTTAAGTGGATGAGCCTTCAGAAGAAGAGTAAGACGTTATTGCGCTGTTGAAGGAGGTGACTGATGGAGCCACCAGGACGTTTCTCTCGGCAGCAGCCTCCCCCGTTACAAGCAACCTGCACCAGCCCTCGGGAGGAGCTGTGTCCAGCCGCCCGGCGGGGCCGCGCTCCGCTGGCACCAGCCTGAGGAAGACTTCAGCTTCCCGCAAGCATCGCGAGGTGCCTCCAGCAGCCTCCTCGGAGGCCAACAAGGCTTTTACAAGCGGCCCTGGGCCAGCTGAACAAACCCAACAGCACGAGCAGCTCCCCGAGGTGAACGCCGCGGTTCTCTGGTTTAAGCTGGTTAAGAAAGCTTCTCGCGGAGCGAAGGCCCACAGCGCGGCACCAGCAGCTCCGCAGATGGCTCCTGGTTCGCTAAGCCCAGTTTTGCTAAGCCCCACATGAGGCTCCATCCTCTGGCCGGTACCAGCAGCTCCAGGCTGGACCCACTGTAGCAGCAATCCCCCCGCTCTCCCATGGCGAGAACAGCATCAAGGGTGGCCCAAGACACCCTCTTGTTCTCTTGGAAGGAAACACCATCACTGCAGACAGCAGAGAACAGAGGGGAAACCGCGCGCCTGCCTGAATTCAGCGATTTAACTCTGTATTTTGATCTAAGTGGGGAAAAAAAAAGAAGCGAGCAGTTGAGCAGTCTCATAGCTCTTTAAGCTCAAAAGCCATCATAAGGCTTTTTCAGAGATAAGCGCTTCCTAAATACTTACTGCTGAAAGATTAAGGGGCTGAAAGCCTGATCCTGTTTCCCTGCCCAAAGCGGCTGCGCTGAGGGGACTGCCCCATCCTCGCCGCATCACAGCGGGAGGATCAAACCCTCGCTCCTCTCCCAGCTGCGTAAAGCCGAGCACGGGGATGGATTTTCCCCTCCTCCGGGTGTGGGATGGGGATCCCTGCGTGGCAGCAGCCCCGGGGGGGGGTTAGGCAGGAGAGGGGTGGCTCTGGCAGCAATTCCGCTCTGTTGTCCCTGTCAGCAGCTTTCGCGGGTGGGGGTAACGCAGGTTTGATCCCCGAGTTTCCCCACACGGAGCCTCATTGCCTAACTTCTCGCTCTGCAGGAATTTTGGAGTGATCCTGCTCAGGGGTGGTTTAAGGGGCTCAGCTCAAGCCCTCAGCGGGCAGGACACCCCAAATCTGATGCACCCGCCCCCTTCCAGCCCTGCCCGCTCTCGGGGGCTGGGGAGAAGCACGAGCCCCGTGCAACGTGCTCCAGCTCAGCAGCCGCACGCCGAGCTGGGGTGGATGACTCCAGGTGCGTTTTTCTCCTTCAGTGCTTGTTCTGATTCACACCACCGGGAGAATGACTGATTCCCCAAATTTTAGCACAATTATGAATGTCACTTCCCCAGCGCAACCTTCACAGTAACTCTCTGCTGATTCAACACCACCCTGCGCGCAGCCCCGGTGCGCGAGGTGCCACCGACATCTGGGTCCCCTGCAGCAGACACGGGTCATTCCGACACGCGGGATCCAGGGTAACGGATCCCGGGCCCAACACCACGCACACTCCCGTGCCTCAGACAAGACAAGGTAATTCCTGGCTTCAGGGCTCACCTCCCCCTTTTCAGGGTGCTCCCACCGTTCAACGGCCTTAACGCGAGCAGCGGCACGAGGCCGCTGAGCCCGAGCAGGTTTGCGGATGGGTGCATCAGTTATTCGTTCAAGTTTGCCACGTTCAGCCGCGCTCCGGGCAGAGCTCGAACCAAAGGTCGCAGAATTAAGACATGAATTCCTGCTGCGAACGCATCTCTAACCCGAGTGCCCCTCGGCACGTCCCGCTCACGGCCGTGCCCACCAGGGATGTGCCCTGGATGCTCTTCAGCGAGATCCCGACCCCGACTCCCTCCCTGCACGAATTCCCAACGCCCCGACCTTGAAAACAC